TTAGAATTGATGATGTCTGTGTTCACAGACCCCACCTGCTGGCATCAGACTGTTGAAGAAAAATGAAGATGTCAGCTCCTTTATTCCCTCACACAATACGGCCAATAAGGTGCAGAAACACAAATCCTTCTTTTGACTTCTGCCTGTTTTTGGTTTTTCAGTTATCTCTGCTCAGAATCTCGTACCCTGAACGAGACGATGCTTTACAGTTTCTTTACTTTTTCTTACTCAGGCTGAAACACAATTTGAGGACCTCATTGCCAATCTAAAAATCTCCAAGGGTAACCAGCAAACCCCACCCCCTCCTGCCCCTCCACAAGGAGGCGACAGCCAGCCAGATGGCCCATTATCCCCACAGTCTTTTGCCATGGTAAATATGTGGAGAAGCCGAAATAAGAGGAACCTCTGAGTTATAGAAGAACCACTTAAAGCCTAATGTGAATGATCATGTGTGGTTTGTCGCTATAGAAGGGAACCCTGGTGCTGAAGGAGATGCTTAAAATTGACAGCACCGGAACAGGAAGTCAATCTCCTCAAGAGACGTCAAACAGCACGCCCCCTGCTGGCCAGCAGCAGAACAGGAGACGATCATCAAAGAAACTCGGTACCTTAGTGATTTCTAAATCCCAGGCAAATTTCTTCTGTGTTCTCCTCCTCATGATCATTACTTTCTCCCTCCAGCTGCAAAAATAAACGTCCCGCACGGCGACGCGCCCGTGTTGCCTTCTCCGGCACCTGCTGCCTCTGCCAACACCCTGCTGGGCAGTAAGGTGTCAGAGCTGGCCTGCATCTGTGGGGCTTTAGGTATGGCGCCGCCTGACTTCAGCTTCATATGCAACAGACAGGTAACACGCTCATCACACTTTTTTCTACTCTGCGTTTCCCACTTTCACAAGTGCCCCACTCTGAATCATTTCCATTTACACCGACGCAGGGTCTGGTGGTGTGTCAGGTGAAACTGTCCAACGGGCTGATGGTTCATGGCCCACAGTGCCAGTCAGAACACGATGCCAAGGAGAAAGCTGCTTTCTTTGCACTTCAGAGACTGGTACACACACAAACGCAGATATTTGATTCACAAGTGTGAGAGGCTGAACTTTGTAACCAATGAGATAAACATTAAATGTGTTGCTGACCCCCTGTGTATCTGTAGAACTCACTCGGGTCAGGCTTCCCCCTCCCACCTCCTCTGTACACAGGAGTGGGTCAGATACGACCTCCCCACATGGGAGCTGTCTTCAACCAACAAGGTGAGTCTGTCTTTCTTTAAGGTCTCATCAATGAATTTAGAAACATCAGTTTAAGGTAGTGGGTCGAGGTCACCTGGTGTAAAATTCTGCCAAATTAAACATACAGAGCTAGGGCTGTTCGATATAACGATAAATATCGGAGGACGATATAAAAACATCTATCGTTTCATTTTACGCTATCGTTTGTTTCATGGTGTCGCAAAATAAACTGTTTACGGCAAAATTTTTTCATCACTTTGATGGTCGCTGTTCTCTCTTTCTCTTATATTTAATATAACCACACTACGGAGGGACTAGCGGCTGGTTTAATGCGTAGTCCTTAGCAACGACGATGGTAAAACCATTGCGTGGCTCTGCCGTCCGCTTGTTTATTTTCCACATCAATATTTCACAATAAAGTTGAAGATCCTGTTGAGATTTTTCAAAATAAACTGAAACACGTGAAAGAGTATACAGAGTGTTTACGGACGAGAGGCCAAAAAGAGCCGTCAGGTGCTCAAAAATAAACCTTAGAACAGGCTTTTTCTCGCAGCATGCCATGTCATAAATACTCACACGGCTGTTTCAACTTATGTAACACTCGACTCCAGGTACACGATGCCCAGCTTAAAACACGTTGAGTTGCCTGAGATTCACAGAATTTACAGAAAATCTAAAATTTTTGTGATCTTTATATCGATAAATGTCTTATATCGGATATGAGATTTTGATTATCGCCCTATACAGAGCTCCTCAGTGTGGTGAACCCTTGTGACAGGGGATGAATTAATAGTTGCAGCATTCATATCAAATTTTTTAAGCCTTAAAAATGATCTATTTCAGTCTTAGGAGTATGCTCTTGTTTTCCAGGTGGTGTGCTGTTGCCCCCACAGGGTTATGGTCCTGCTCCTCTCTGGGGAATGACGGTGCCTCCTCAACACCACCAAAACCAGCCATTCTACGGGCCACCGGGGACTTTCCCTGGTGCTGCGCGCCCCCAGCCTGCAACGACACTGCCCATTGGCTCACACAACCAGTTCATCCCCTTACAGGTAACACATAAGCCCTTTTTCCATAAGGACCTACTTGGATCGGTTCGACTTGTT